GATGATTAAGAAGTGCTGCCGCAAATGTACAGTATAGGTAAATCATGCATCCACCTCCTTTGCCTGTTCCGCGATCTTTTCGAAAGAGCTGATAATTAAGAATCATTAAGGTAGAGTCTAATATATCAGGGGAGCACCACGTTTCAGTAACGAGGATTGCTTGTAGTTCGTTGATATGCGCAAGCATTCCTAGGAAGTAAAATTTGTTGTTAATAGATCTAGCATTAATTAGAAGTATAGCAAACGGACTATTGGGCGTGGCGGCATGGTGTTGCGGTTCTTTGTTATACGCGTTGTGGTAGTGAGCCATGAGCGAGGCCACTCGGGACCACTACAGAAGCAACGACGGGTCCTGCAAAGAAGGTAGACAGAACCGGCGCAGCGTTTGTAGGTACGCTGCATTCGATTTACTAACCGCGTGCTTGCATGCTAAGTCTCTTTATTTCAGGTGGTGGGTTTTAAATTTTGTTCTAATGCTTTTCTTTCTCATATAAATGTCAACCTGTACTCTATTCCATTAAATTGCACACCTCGCTTAAGCCAATTTTACTCGATTTCCATAACATTTTTGTGTTCGTGGCATTCCGTAAAATATACTTGCTGACCTCGTAAACTTATCTAGGGTTCGTTTGTAAACAACTTATTTCATATGCTCATTAACTTAAGGTTTATGTAACCGTTTCCTTATGCATTAATCGAGTTATTTTCTTTGTATCTCTCTCTCAAGTGATTGGCTGTTGTTTGATATCCCCGGTGTGGCCGCGCTTGATGTGCATGTTGACAAGGCGGCTACCTGTCTATTACCCGCTACCTCGTCCATACTGGCTCTAGGCGACAGTTGGTCGTTGCTGGAGGGGACAGGGTGCACAGTCTTTGTGGCCGTGTTAGGCTCGAAGAGTGGTTCCATGCACTCAGTGTGCAGCGGACTACGGTCCAACCACCGCCTTGTGTGCGCTTGATTCCCAAATACAGTGCACTTGTGTTTGCCTGTGAAGGAGTGTGGGCCGGCTCCGTTGATGAAACGTGGTTCCCATCCGCATGCCTCCCGGTCTTATTCCTTCGGGTTTACACTGGATATGGGGTGTGTGAATGGATCTGTGGGTGGTGCAGCGCAAGCCATCCATGGTCCCTCTGTAGGCGCAGGCGTCCTGTGGCTTGCCATAGTGACAGGCAAATCCGAAACCGGATGCCGCCAACCATGTTGTAGTCAGGGTCTATGTACGCAGGAGATATGAGTGGGCGTCGTGGGGTCGAGTCTATTCTTGGCAGCCGTGGTGATATGGGTAATGAGTCATTTGTGATTGCCAATATTACTGTGAACATGGAGGTGATTGAGGGAGCAAGTCTAATTTGCGGCTGGCGTGGCAGCTGGCTAGCCGAGTCCTCTGCAGCAATTCCAGTAACAGTGGGAACAGGTAGTTGGCTGCTGCCGGGTATGTAAGCAGTGGGAATGGCCGCGGCTCCATTCCCTCCTGTATTAAAAATGGGTAATACTGAGGGGTGCTGGGAAGGGCCGCACACATATAAAACGGGATGGGAGGTGGCCTTGTCCTCGTGGCATAGCTTATCCTGTCATCATTACTGTGCTTGATTTTGTGGTATGATACTGAATTATGGCCAGGGGTATCCAAAAGGTATTTGTTTCTGGTTTTTGCGGCTCATGATGCCGCTTTATATATCTTTTGTGCAATGTATGTTGGTAGATCTTGTTAGTTTCTGCCGTGTTGAGCACAAGCTTAAATCTTGTGTTGAATCCTGTGAATTGCTGTGGGTTTTCTACATTATTGTATTGACTGTCCATGGGAGTTCTTTCGGTGTTGAGTTCAGCTTGCGACACATCTACAGAGCCCTTGATAGTCAGTTCTTCCTAATTGTTAGAAGTTACTCCATCATTTATGAACGGTGAATTCAATTCAGTTGGTTCACAGACGTCAACATTGAGGGGGTAGCAGTACGTAGGATTTTGCTTGGGTGACATTGCAGTATTGTTAGCAACGGTGTTGACTGAGGTCCTTATCAAATGAGGCGGGCGGGCGAGATCCACTTCAAATTGCCCAGTTACCACATTAGAGAAATTAGCTTTTTGAGCTTTGGTCTGAGAATACTTAACGCAAATAGCCGTTTGAGCTAGTGCTTGTGACGAAATATCACTAAGGGATCTCTGTAGAGGCCTGCGATCTGGTTTAATCAATAGGTCTTTGAATTGCGTCCGCTGGGCTACAGTGCGCTGATTACTCAACAATCGGTTCACGGATTCCTCTATTGCAAACTTAAAAACGATCGGGCAACAGTGTTTCGGTGTTTCCTTCTTCAGACGAAGGCGTTTGCATTTAATTTTGTAAATATTGCAAGCACTAAGTACTACAGTTTTAACTTTACCCAAATTAAGTATATCAAGAATTTTAAAAACGACCACATTTTTCAGTCTAGACATTCGTTCATGTACCTCAGACGCAGTTGAGGCGATTAACTGTCCTGTCTTTCCTAATTGGGCTGGATAAAGACTTTCTCATAGGTTACTGAGGTAGTCTAATGAAGCCAGGTGATCTCGGATTGGTTCTCATGACATAATTTGTACAGTTTGTTGGAAGCAACGATTACAACATACTTTTTCGTGGCCCGTGCTCTGTCATGCTGATTTTTGGCTGTGCTGCTTCTACATGTGTACAGTGTCGTTCAGTCTGCTCGCGTATCGGATAATAGACTCGGAATTACTATTGAACGTCTATTTCCATCGTGCTCGACGTGTGCCACAGGTATAGCGCAGTCTATGATTCGAACTCGACTGTGCTTAGACTGTGGGTTGACATTTTCCGAAAGTTTTACGTTTACTTATGGACTGAAACCTTCCTAGTATCCTTTCGACTACTACAACGGACAGCAGTTAGGCCACTCAATGCGATCTCCGAAAGTAGTCGGAGAATATGCACTCAATTTATACAGATGGTAAAATACACCAAATGAATATTCTTAGTGCACACTGCACCAAGAAAGAACATGTGTTACACAGTAATCCGGAAGCAAAAGTAGAATCCAGCACTGTAATTCAGAAATTGGCGGCGTACGTGGGTACAGACAACTCGCATTTGGGTACCGCGATCTCTGTACACGGGGAGTAGCCAGAAGCCCAATGTAAATTTCAGGATTTTACGCATTGGTAAACAGACTCTTCTCTTCTCGTGTTCCAGGGTCCGGCTGGAAAGGACGGCAGACAAGGAGGCAAAGGTGACACTGGCTTCAGAGGACCAACAGGACCAGAAGGTATGCCTGGTCCCCGTGGTACTCCCGGGACGTCTGGAGCTCCAGGTGAAGCAGGAGCCAAAGGAGCAGTTGGCGATCCTGGCCCCCCTGGAAATCGAGGTCTTCCGGGCAACGCTGGTCAACCGGGTGGTATTGGACCCAGTGGACCTCAAGGTAGGTGTTCGTCTTAAAATGTATGCAACCCCTTTTTCACTATGGAAGCTCGCTACGTCAATTCATCGCAGATAAAGGAACGCTGTAGATTACAACTTTGCGAGGCACAATCTTTTCGATAAATCTCATAAAGCGTTTATAATTATAAAGTGGAAAGTTGGAACACGATAAGCTGGAGAAGCGCGGTATAGCTTAGTGCAATCAGAACTTTGTGGAAATGAAGCTGTCTTAATCGATAAATTGGTCGATCTACTAAGGCAGCTGCTACCACAGTACACATAGGCACGCATAGCTATTTGTTACTGGTATGGCTTAGTTTCTCATGGAGAAAGCGCTGTGTTCATTGAAACCTGTTTCTTCGTGGGCGGCTCTCGTAGAAAACACGAAACTCAAGGAAACTAACCTGTTTCTGCAGTGTACAATGGTGAACTATATCAGAGGGCTATCATATGATTAGGCTGCATATAGTCAGCTGTTCATGACTGTGGCGATGATGGTGTTATTTTATACCAAGAAAAAGTGGCGCGTAAAAAAAACAAAAATGTTCTCTTTTTGATTCTTCATTACTTTTTGACATAGTTGTAAATATTGCTGCTCTCTAGTTGGTATACCGAACAAATATGTTTGATGGTGTTTCCATGGCATGCAGTCTACTCAGTTATGTTGAATACAAGTAGTATCCGAATTAAAAATAATAAGCTTAATCGGCACAATATTCAATCAACACCTGCAAGCAGTCACTCGGTCTGTTATACCGGAATTGTGTATTTTGGCGCAATACCGATACTCTTGGTCGGAAGTGATCGGTAAATAGTTATGGTTGTAGAGACTTTTCTGTATAGGCACACTATGCGAGTACTTCTTGCGCTGACAACGGTCAATGGTAGCTGTTTTCCTCTCGCAGCACTTTACCTCACAGTGGATTCCATGCTTACTTGTACTCTTCGGGTAAACGGAAGGTTATCAGCTAGCTGTAGGGTTAGTGTGGTCGAACAGCCGTACGTTTACCTCAAGTGGATTAGCGTTATCACACACAGAGGGTGCTCCAGACAAGCTAAACGGGAGTGGGATGTTGTATATAGTTGGTTTTTCGATGTGAGCGTACACTTTACTGGTTTCTTGCCTCTGCAGTTCATGCATTACTTAGCTTTTGTCCATACGATTTCTTGACAGATCCCCAGACCTTTGTTGCTGTCGGTAGCTATTGGCTTTATTTTGTAGCCTCAGAAAGTTCGTTTCAAAACGTGAAAACCTGTTTGAAAACAAATTATCGCGGAGGTTTACTCTGGTGGCTTCCACGAGCAGACCATGCTGGCCATTATTCTATGCTACACTGAGCTTCTAGTTTCGATCGAATAATAAAATCAACAAAGCAAATACTTTGGGGAATGATAGCAGCGATGAGATATAACTGAAATTCATCCTACGAAACTAGAGCAGTTGCGAGTTCCGATTGAATTAGCACCCTAAATGCAAACATCACATGGTGAAACGCTACAACCAACTGGTGAACGAGCATCAATGAACCCACAATGAGTCCTTAACCGTTGTGATAATCGTTGTTCATGACTCGGTGGCGTGGGACAGAGACTTCGACCGGTAGTCTCCAAATGCCAGGCTCGAATCACAGTTCTCCGCTCTCTGCTTGACTGACGTGAGTATGCATAAAACCCGTCGTGGAGAGCGGGATTACGAGCAAGTAGCGCCTAACACTTGTCTGTTTCAGATGCGTACTTAGCGACTAAACTGGCGGAGATACTGTTCAAAATATAACGCGGTTTACATTTAGGTTGCTTATTGTGATTTATTTATACAACGGGCACTGTAAATGAATTTAAAGGGAGTAAACGATTACAAATCTGATCATCGAGTCGACTGAGATGGTTAAAAGGCGGCCTTAGGGATAGCAAACTTTTGCCTAATTGGGAACAATAACTTAGGTTAGGGTGAATGAGTCTAAAGATTGATGTGGTAATCAAGCGAATGAAATTGTACCCTACACCGTCTTGTGCTTCACGTTTCCATTGAATTGATACACCCTGGGACAGATTATGGTTGTGAGATCATCTATAATCCTCATGTCGGCAACCTTTTAGTTGGAAAACATTGAAGGGGCTCACTACTAGACTCCATTAGCTTGCCAAATCTTTAGTAGCGTTACATGGAAGATCATTTGTGGCCACAAGCGAGTTAAGACTAATAAATCACCGAACTATCTAAACTCCATTAATGAAAATGTATACCTTCCGATACCACTGGAATCTTGTTGTACCACGGTCGCACATGGACCATCTAGTTCACGGAAACCTACTGATTCAAATGAAGTGCTTCATTACAGCTCAGATTATTCAAATCACCTCTAAGCTGCGAGCATATAATATATGTTTAATAACGCCTGCGATGTATGTAGGGAGGAGCAAGATAAGAAGACTGCTCGAAAGCAGGTGCTGAACAAATTGCTAAATTAAGGATTGCTTGGCCAGTTAGTGATACGTCAGCTGCGGTTGTTCCTAAGTCCACATTTATTACGTGTTACGAAATGGATTAGGAAGGTATGAATTTCTTAGAAATAGTACATTTCTGAATCCATCAGCTGGACCTTAAACAAGAGTTAAATACGGTGAACTTACAAAGGGATCACTCAGTGTACTCCACACGGGTAGGTTTGAAGGATCCATTTTCAGGAGGAAGGATGACTAATTAGATCTGCAAAATTATCCACAAAGACTGTATACACATGCGAATTGATCAGACATCGAAATAATTACTTGAGAGAAGCAGGACGCGAAAAGCAAATTTTGCGTCAACGGACAAACGAACCTGAGTACAAGGTCCAATCAAGAGACTCAACGCTCGCGGTGCGTGCACTGACCTCACTGTACGCATTCAATCGTACTAGCGTTGAGATCATTAAGAGAGGAGCGGAACAAAACATACCAAATGTTACGTGCCGTTGGTGCGGAAATCTCCAGACTATATTATATATATATATATATATATATATATATATATATATATATATGTTTGGGGGTTGTACTAACTCGGCCAATCTGAAATGTCAGTAGACTGACTTAGGTTGGAGAACGAGCTACGAATATTCATGAACAATTGCTACATGGACCAGTTGAGGACTTTCTATATTTATAGTTTTACCAGCATGTATGCTCACGACTGTTTAAGCCGTAAGGATAAGTATCCACGAACTCATATCATTTTCATGATTATCATCCTAATGTGCTTTAAAAGCTACTCCCATTATGTACTGCTTCACCTGGCATGAAGTAGCTATCGGGTCAAGAGTGAAATGTTGCCACAATATATGTGTAAAACTGATTTACCTTCGAAAGATTTTGTAATTATGAATACCTCAAATACCATGCTGCGTGCAAATTCACCACCATTGATAAATCGAACCGTTGCGAGGAGATCAACAGAAGCACGTGGGAAGGGACTCTGGTCTCTGGAATACGAGACATTAGTTTGTGGATTGGTTAAACTATAAATATATTATAGGTGTTTCACGGAGAGACGGTGGACCAGCTTTCCAAGAGAATGTAGAGTGTAGCGAAAATGCCTTAACTGTTGACCGAATTGAAGTGGCCGATGAACGTCAAAAATGCCAGGTGAATCGATTAAGGCACATCATGAACAGATCCAGTGTAGACAATGGCTGGCGTTTTCTAGCATATCTGTGAAGGCAAAAGAGAAAGATGGATGCATAATAGTCCCTATCAGCTTACTCTGGTAGAAAAGCTGGTAACCATGATTATACCCCCCACCAGCAAGGTCTGAAACTTCTGGGTCACAGCGGATACCGGCAGCTGGCCTTCCTAATGGAACGGGTATGATATTACCCGACCCATCCGTATCCTGCCGCATGAGATGTTGCTCAGCTCAGCCACATTTTTAAGCCTGCTACAACACTAGTCATCATAACTTCGAGTTATAGCAATATCTGTTCGGTTAAGCAGCCTTTAAAAACAGCACACCCATTTCTGTGCGGATCGATGCAAGGAATGCCGTGGTTAGGCTGGACGACAAATCAAGAACATTGCCATTGTTGGGTCGTTCGAACTAGTCGCCTTGTGTTTAAAACGCGGTACGTTGCATCGTCATGGATAACAATTCATGTTTCTCACTGTGAACACATCCGGTATGCTAAAACTATTTTTATCTTTATAGGTCCCATGGGTGTTGCCGGAAAGGACGGGATCATGGGCCCACGTGGTATGCCTGGACCGAAGGGCTCAGCTGGTGCAATGGGTCCTCCTGGAGCCCCAGGCCGGCCAGGCGTGGATGGAAGACCAGGCCTTCCTGGGGCCACCGGCAAAAGCGGCCCACTAGGCAGAGCCGGACCGAGAGGTGAACCTGGGCAGCAGGGACTGATGGGGAATCCGGGGCGTGCGGGTCCACCGGGACCACCGGGAGCAAACGGTATTGACGGGGCGCCGGGACCTATGGGGCAGCCAGGTCCACGAGGTTCACCTGGGAAATCTGGTCAAGCAGGACATCCTGGTGTGGCCGGAGTATCCGGACCGCCCGGACCCCAGGGAAACGTTGGATTACCGGTAAGACTACAAACGGGAAGAAAATAGCTCTTTCTGGAGATAACTCCTATGTCATCATCCTTACGGTTTCATGTTCCGCAGCAGTTACATAATGAATAGAAAATGGATGGCTTTAACATGTCGCCCCACGGCTGGATGGAGCAGCTAATTGTGTACTGTAAACATCCTTAACAGAAGCAGTGTCTTACGGACAATAAAACAAGTCCCTCTATAACAATCAAATGCTTCGTCCTTCGGCATAGTTTTACTACTAGGTTCAACTTCATTATTAATGAAATTAACCCATCATTATTAGCCTCAATTTTTATTTCCTTCGTTGGAACAATGCTTATGAACCAGCTAGCTAGCTCGCGCTTTTTCACCCCATTGCATCTTAATTCCTCATAGGGTCCTCAAGGCGAGTATGGTCTACCTGGTCCCACTGGCGGAAGAGGTGTTAAGGGAGATAAAGGACCCAAAGGATTTGTTGGTCATCCTGGAGCCGAGGGAGACACTGGCCCTCCAGGTGTGCAAGGGAGGCCTGGACCTGTTGGGGACAAAGGAATCCCAGGACTTGCTGGGGGCGTAGGTGCACCAGGTCAACGGGGACTTCGGGGAGAAATTGGACCTCAAGGTGATCCAGGAAAAGACGGAGCGCCGGGCATGGACGCACCTGATGGCGAACCTGGTACACCAGGTCCACCCGGACCACAAGGACCTGTGGGTCATGCAGGCCCGCCTGGACCACAGGGCGATACGGGCGTCAGAGGCGAGAAAGGTAATATGGGACCTATGGGTATACCTGGACGCCTTGGAGTATTGGTGAGTTTAAAGCATTCTCCACAAAATGAGACCAGCAGGACAATACCAATCGCTAGAAATCATGTGGTTATGAGTCGTGACTGTAGTCCAGCGGAGGTTGGACTCCGAAACTTGTTAAGAAGTTGATGTAGCCGCAAGGCCGCTGGTTCGTCTGTGCTCCGGCTGCCTACTTTCAACCGTTACTGCTTTCATCCGGTGCTTCTGATGCTTTTCTCTCACGGTCTTTACAGATATACATTTTGCCTATCTAGCAGCTCGATTTCTCTACCCTTTTTGTTGTCCATGTATTTTTATAAGCGTGTATAGGACAATGTACGCGTACACTCGGTTCAGGGGTTTTAATCGAAACGATCCGAACTGAGTATCGACTTGCCATTGTGTGTGAGGTTAAATGCTTATGGCTTCATTGGGTGGTGGCCGATACAAGGGTCCTCTACATAAATGCAGAGTAGGCCTTTTAAGCATACGACCAGACAACTGGTGCAGTTGATGAGTAGATCAAATAGACAAGTATTCTTCCAAGCTAACCTGTGCTTCAAAAAATTTGTCAACCTGGTTGATAGGGCTAGAAGCGTATGTTTGTGAAAACATTTTTTCCTTTGTGTTTTTTTTAGAAAGAACCTAATAAAACTTACTTCGCACAGAAGACTTGCTAATTGTCCGAGTGATTTGAAAACTTGTCCATAAACGATTACTGGTCGAGTGCTAAAGTACCGGCCTAAACATTTTACCATTTTTCAGGGAATTCCCGGTGTTCCTGGTCAACCGGGTCCTGAAGGGCTATCTGGTTTCAAAGGTGACCGAGGTACATCGGGATTAGGTGGATTACCCGGTAAAGACGGAGCACCAGGACCAAGAGGCATTCGTGGACCTCGCGGACCACCAGGAATCATACAACGATTGAGCAGCAGACAGAGAGCACTATTAGGTCCACCAGGAGAAATTGGCGATGCAGGATCACCAGGCGAACCGGGTGTTCCTGGTATGAATGGCCAAGACGGGCCAGTGGGCCCAGTAGGCCCAATGGGGCCGGCAGGAAAAAGAGGACCGGCTGGATCAACGGGCTTACCAGGGACCCCAGGAAATCCCGGTCGTGCCGGATCTCCCGGACCACCCGGCAGTCCCGGCCCTATGGGTTTTCAAGGCCCCGCTGGCACTCAAGGCCCAACAGGACCTCCTGGAGAGGTTGGACCAATTGGCCCCCAAGGATTCCCTGGAAGACAAGGGCCACAAGGCGTGCAGGGTAAAGAAGGATTAATTGGACTTCCTGGCGAACCAGGATTGCAAGGTAAACCTGGAAACATTGGCCCAGTCGGTCCACCTGGTGCCCCTGGAAAGGATGGGGATCCAGGAGACCCGGGTTTGCCTGGTTCGCCAGGAGAAGTTGGTGACGTCGGTAGTCTGGGTGCTCCTGGCCGTGATGGTGCAACTGGAATAATGGTGAGTTTTGCTATCGCCTGTGATGCCCATATTTTGTTTGTTCCAGCGTACTCCCCATTTCTTGGTAAACACCTGCCACGCATTCAGACAAATCCCCTTTTGTTCTGGAGCCCGTGTAAGAACGGTTAGGCAGAGCGCATTCACTTTAATGAAGTACAGATGTACTAAGGTACACTGCTGTACGTCCAATATATGTATGCAAATAACTGATGCCTTTCGCACACCATTTTAGGGTATGCGTGGGACAACCGGCGGTCCAGGCCCTCGTGGTCCGCCAGGCCCCCCCGGGCCACCAGGACCTCAGGGTGCTGCGGGTCCAACAGGACCAGAGGGTCCCGTTGGACCGGTTGGAAGCAAAGGATCCACTGGACTGATTGGGGCTGAAGGACCAGAAGGGCCCCCAGGTGCGGATGGTGCACAGGGACCTGAAGGACCAGTTGGACCAGTTGGAGAACCTGGGTTGGATGGCATGCGAGGTCCGCGTGGTTTACCGGGCGAAGCGGGTCCTATTGGCGAAGTCGGACCACCTGGTTCTCCCGGACGAGATGGACCACAAGGAGAAAGCGGTGCTCCGGGAAAACCTGGGATTCCAGGAGAGCCAGGAGACAAAGGACCTCCAGGAGTGGACGGAAATGATGGCAAGGATGGTGAGGCTGGGACACCAGGAAGTCCCGGACCTGTAGGCCATCCTGGTTGGAGCGGACCTCCAGGACAGGCCGGCCCACCTGGGCCTGATGGGATGCGTGGCGATGCTGGCGAAATTGGTGCTCCCGGTAATCCCGGATCACCGGGTGAGAGCGGCCCCATCGGTGAAACTGGAGTCAAAGGAGTCAAGGGTCAGAGAGGCGATATTGGAATGCCTGGAGTGGCTGGCCCACTTGGAAGAGATGGTCCACCAGGACCACCTGGACCAGCTGGACCTCCTGGTCCTCCAGGACCCCCAGGAATGCATTCGGTATATGTACCTACAATGGGCCCAGGAACCAAAGGCAAGGGTCTGTTTGCTGACGATCCTTTGGTGATGAGATTACTGGGCACTGCAGTGAACCAGAGACCACAGGGAACAAGACGCTCCCCGGCTATCACCTGCAAGCAGTTAGCTTCCATCTACTCTAATCTTAAGGACGGTGAGTTTCGATAACTTCTCAAGTTCAGCTGTCATATGCCGTTGTGCCTGGAGTGCAATACAGATTTAAGTACATGCCAACCTAATCTAATGTTTGAGTTGTTAGCAATTAATTGCAAGCGTTTTACTTAGCAGATGGAACTATTGTTCTTCATTACTTTAGGGAAGGGAAGCCAATATTTTCAGCACTTCTGCATCAAACACTGGTCAAATAAGTTGAGGTCATTCCTGGTTGAAAGGTCCTGTTGCCTTCAAAAGGTGGGCAGCATTCAGAAGCTCATAACCACAAATAACCAGCAATTCGAAACGTGCACCATACTTAGTTTCGGTGAATCCTCTGGTTAAATGTTTCTGCGGACGGCAGTGTTTACAATCCAAAGCTCTTTCGCTTGATACTGCTCGGCCAATGAAAGCGCACTGGCCCATCGTATGTCTTCGGGCTACAGTCAGCGTTTGAATTAATGACTTCTGGCTGGAATAAGCGTTCACCGGTGACTGGCGCAAAATGAAGCCTGGTTGGTTACTACGCCACCATCTTATTGTCCGCTCAGATTTGCTACCACTTAACTACTAACACAGAGTCAGTATTCACTTCAAGTTCTCTCGTACTTCTAAGTCAATGTCATACACTATCACACTGGTACATTCCCTACCGATTTCTTCTTCGACAGCAATGTATTGGGTTGATCCGAATGGCAATGAAATCAACGACGCAGTTCAGGCGTACTGTATTATTTCCACTGGAGAAACGTGTATTTCAGCTACACGAGCAGAATTCACTGAGGACCAAGAGGATGAGGTAAGTGCGATCCACATGTGCCAACCCAATTGAGAGTGAGGTCAACTTGAGCCAATGTCTCTCTTAAGCGTTAGAACATGAAGTAGAGTTCAGCAACACCCGACGAATGCGTGCCACCGACGAGATAAAACGGCAGCTTAACGCTTCATAGGATGTGTAGTGGCTACCTGACTGGGATTAAAAGAACCGACCGAAATCCACCCTGTTGCTCTCTACTAACTAGTAATCGTCCGCTTTAGCTTACACTGCCATAAGAGTACGTGTTGCTAGCAAGTGAAGTCACGCTTCCGGGGACAAACCGAGTCCTCACATGACAGTGTATGATGAAGCATTCTATATCACAGTCGACAAACAGTCACGGCGGTCTGCCGCCGTTACCGATGACTTTGTGGATTAAGCCGCGGTTAATTGCGGCAACAAGCACCAACCGTACAAGGCTTGTCGAGCGCTGGTTTGATATTTCTCCCTAACGCACATCTATTTGCGGTCCCCAAGCGTTCGCCTTGTGTGAGGATGTTGGTTTGCGCCGTTGTTGACTCGTTAACGTCCAGTTACTTCTATACCGCTAACTCTTGGTGCAACAGTGTGTACCCTTGGCCCCCCACAGTCCTCCTCACCCAAAGTATTCATTCTTGTTGCTCTTGCACGGAGTTATGCTGACCTTCTGGGTTACTCAGTGTGCGAAGTGGCTTCCTGTTCCACTTCGTACCACCTCCTCAGTTCACTGCTATGTACCCAACGTGAATTTCACTGTCGAGAGATTTCATGCACTGGGCCTCGCAGGTTGAACGCTTCATGCGACCCTTTCCACTTCTGTAGGATTTTCTTTCTTCTAAACCACATGTGCGCGCAGGTTGACAACCACTGTATTACATTTTCAGACCGATTGGAAACTCACCCACCGGCTTTCTATGATTAGATTGGATTTTTTTCCATCCACCGCATCTGGGTTGCTTTCAGGTTACGGTACACTAGATTTCTGTTGTCCTGTTCTTCCTTTGGTTGAACGCACTGAACTTTAGATCAACAGGAAGTTGTGGCAGGCGGCTAAACATTAACTACATTGTAGAATCCTTGGTGCTTGCTTGGACGCTTGTAAGCCAGCAAAAGTAACGGTCCATCTTCTCTCAAATATTGTTCCCTCACTGACTTTCTTTAATCGTTCTATTGTTTCCCTAACTTGTAACTTCCTCCAAGCATGCCCGGAATTCGTCACTATTAAAATATAAGCCCAGATCTGTCAGCGTCGTGGCCTTTGGAATTCCGTGTCTAGCTAACAGTTGTTTTATTACGATTGGGTTGTGTTCACCAGCTGATTCGGGATTACGGTGGCTTCAGTTCAGCTGGTGATGTGTTCGGTTATCACAAGCAAATACTTCTCACCACGTCTTGTTAACGTGAACGGCCACATCACGTCGAATGACAACTTACTATCAGTTGTGGTGTTTCTCGATTGTCCGCCTTAAAACGCTAACGCTGTCCACACGGCAACACGCACGCATGGGCGTCTTTTTTCAAGCAAGGCTAGTAAGCATGTTGCAAACCATACGTACCTGTGCATACCACGTGTGTCATTTCCTGACAAATCACCAACTTCCTTCACAATTTCGGTGGGATAATCGGCGCCGTCCTTGTGGCCAAATCAGAACTCCGCTTTCGTTGACGTATAGCTTTGCCACTCCTTATAAACGACCAGATTTTTGTTTGTATCCGTTGCTATGTTTCGCCGCTTGCCTCACAATTCGGGCTGCTATCACCCAGTTCATGTACCTGTCATTATGTTGTTCAACCATCCACTTACCCATAATCTGCTCCAGCACTAAACTGCTGACACTGAAAGCAACGTTCGTCAAATCATTTTCATTCGTCATACGTGATAAAAATCCGTCGTTCCATTATCGTTCCAGGGTATGTGGTTTATCGTAAAGTGGTAATCTTGCAGGTGCAGCGGGCATCTCACCAACTTCGTTTTGAGGTCTTCGGGGAGCTTACTCCATCCCATAGGGTCGTGCTCTGTTTCCACCTGAAACATGTAACACCAGTATGCCCAAACGCTTGCGAGTTACTTTCCCTACTGCCGAGTACTTACGTTCTGGCGGCGTTAGAAGTCTTCTATCGTATTCCATCTCCCCTTCATTTTCTTCAGTATCTCTCCGATTCCGATATCGCTAGCGTCTATGATTATAGCGAAGGTTTCTCCGGCAATCGGTAATCTCAACTTCACTCCTTTACTCCCTATTCTGTTCTGAATGTCATCAAACACTCGCTGGGCTTCTGTCGTCTAAGTGAATTTCTTTTCTTGTCTTAACAACTCGTACACAAGTGGTGCAAAACTGTTAAAATTCATGAGGAATTTACTGCTATGCCTAGGTCGGAGAACCGAGGGGCCTCGATTTGTCGATATCTTCTCAGGCGTCAGATTAATCTCATCACGGAACCCTTACCGAGCTGAGATTCATGCACATTTAACCGTAACGCTGAGTGATGAATTCGTTTTAACCTTACCTTCAGATGATGGCAGTGCCCTGTCTTCAATTTACTATATACACGAGATCATTTTTCTGCACGGGCACATTCTCGGAGACATCCAGTCAGTGTAGGAAAGTGAACGGGGAACCGGATATATCAAACGGCATTCTTTTTAATTGGTACCGTTTCTCTCCGACTGTAAATGGCCTCTTCTCCCGGTCTTATCGTTCGAGCTCCAGCTATTTTTAACCAGACCTCAGGTCCAACACTGCAACTTTCTTCGACTACTGAAGTTTGTCAACGCTGTCTGCGACTAGTGGCACTTGGACAAAGTGGCTCAACCAGATTTCATTCAGCCTTCTGAAGTCTACGCAAAAGTGGCAGTTCCCCTTAGCCATTTTTGCCAAACGACCGGAGAATTGTACGCACTGTGTGTTTCTTCGATCACACACGCAATCAGCACTTGCACTTGCTTTTTCGCACCCGCATCCAAATGAATTGGCATTCTCCGAGGTCTAGTTAACCGATATACCTGTCGGGTCAAGGAAATGATGTGCTCGGTCCAGTCATAATATGAATACGTGCTTCCGTCGTTTGTAAATAGGAGGTGACACATATTGATGAACAATTGCAATGCATGGCTCAAGTGTAACACGGCAGAAATCGAGCGCGCGAGGACAGATCCTCTAAGTCCAATGGGCAGTAAAGATACGTATGCAGTCAACGCTTCCTCCGTTTCAATTTGACTATAACTTTATTGGACTCGAGGGAATCTACCTTCAAGTGTGTGTGTGTGTCTTGCATGAGGCGACATGACATAGATGGGACTCAGCTTCTATTCCTCGAGGCCAACTGTGCGCCCTACTATGCTATTTTTGTGCACTGTGTAACCGCTAACAACGCTCAACGTCCTGGGGCACGACTGAAGTCCTCGCCACCCCGATGACTGATTAGGGACACTGCGGCACCACTATCAATAAAACACCGTCCAACCATCCTGAGTAATTCCAACATCACTTCAATCGCCCCTCTACACAGTCCCGAGTACTCATCGCCTGACTCGAGAAAATAAGGTTGTAAGAGCAGATTTGGTACAGGCGGCCCAGCGCGCCTCACTGAGCATCGTTATTTTCAATGTCCGTGTTTTCCACAAAGGAAGTGACATACCCATGATTGCTCAGCTGAGAATTGAACAAGAAATGCACCGACATCTTGCGCCATCCGTACCATCATCCGCTTCACGCATTCGTGGTGTTTCTCCTCCAAAACAGCGAGTGGTGTGTCGCCCAGCCTGAGGCCCACCTGGGCAAGTTCCTCCAGCGCAATCTCCTGATGGCGTTAGAAATCCGGACTCGTTCTGCAATCGCCTGCGAGTGACAATCATGTTGTTAAATCCGCCAGCAGATACTGTATCGAGATCTCGTCTACTCCGGGATCCAAGGGATCCAACAACCCCATGTAGATCGCGAATACGTGAGGATACGCCCCTATTCATGTTGGCGGTCGGCTGGGCTGATGACATCAAAGTATATTCCACAGCGGCATCCTCCAAATTGACAAGACTGCTCCACTCCACCGGAATCTCCTCTACCACGTCATTGAGGAAACACCACAGATTAACCAGCTTCCCGTGGTAGCAGTTGATTATTTGAGCAAAGCTGATGAAAGGGTGGTAGACGAGCCAGCGGTTAGGCTGTCGTTGTCTCCACAAATTGATAGCGCGTGGTCGAGACAGACAGCGTAATCAGCATAGGTTAGGTCTATATAGAGTGAACTAACTACAGCCGAGTCAGGAAAAGCGACAAAGCGGATTGGTTCGAACAGGTGCGTGTGGAGTAAACGTTTGCGCTAGGCAGAGAGACAAAAGGGATCTAATGTGTTTGAGTAGAGCTCAAGCAGATGGGGCATAAGCCAAGCAAAGCGAACAGAACGCATGGACCAATGAACACAAACCGACTGCGGACGATACAACCAATTGATTTGCTCATTCGTTCACCGAGCTGGGGAAGTTGTTTGCAAACGTTTCACCGCTATGCAAGGCGGCATCATCAGTGCGTTGAGATGTGGAGTGTAATCTCGCTGCTTGAATTTTCTATGCGTGATCGGCGTGCAGGTGACTTTTCGAAGGTGACGGCTTCGATCTGTGTCCCGTGATCTCTACCCACTTCCCCGTGGCGGAGGTCGCCGCTCGATTTATTCCTATTCAATGGACGTCTCGTAATTTCTCTAACTTCTCTCCGTCGGAGGGGCTGGTAAGCTGGGTCCATGTCGATATGCATGTTGATTGTGCACTTGTAAGAGCACAAAAGAGCATGCAAATGGCATTCCGCATCATCGCTAGTCTCAGCACACGTGGACGAAAATGAACACAGCTTTGATTGGGTCAAAACAGAAGTCCTAGCACGAGGTGAAACAAGTAGGGAAAGGGAGTTCCTGGAAGCGTGGTTCTCAACTAAAGACTCAATCAACATGCATATCGACATTGACCCAATTTACCAGCCCCTCCGACGAAGAGAAGTTAGAGAAATTACTAGATGTCGCTTGTATAGGAACAAACCGAGCGACGACCTCCGCCACGGGGAAATGGGTAGAGATCACGGAACACAGATCGAAGCCGTCACCTTCGAAAAGTCACCTGCACGCCGATCACGGATAGATAATTCAATCAGCGAGAGTACACTCCACATCTCAACGCACTGATGATGCCGCCTTGCATAGCGGTGAAACGGTTGCAAACAAATTTCCCAGTTCGGCGAACGAATGAGCAACTGAATTATCAACCCGAGCTACTAGTATTCCGAAACATTTTAGATACAACCAATGCTAAGTAACCAATGTAAAAGTTGGCAACCGGATGTCGTGCGCCACTTATGTACAGTATAAGTGTTGCCTTGCTTTATAAATAACGGATTTTGATCGTTGCCAAGATTTCCTTTGGACTACCAGAGCGCAACACGACACTTCTGTTCGTTGATCTTCATCCCGACCGTCTTCGACATATCGCAGAAATCATCCAGAAACACATTACAACCCTTTCCACAGACGGTTCCTGTCATGGGATCCCCATCTCCTTCTTTGACTGGTCCAGGGACCAAGGTTAGAACCCAAGAGGTATGACTCAAATATTCGGTTGCGGCAACGAGTGTCCACCATATGCGCATGATTTGACCATCAACAGTTCCACCCGTATGCGAACTGTTGTTAGAAGCTTTTTACAACACTGCTTCGGTATTCTTTCTTAACGCTCATCTATCTACGTTATTCGAGCGTTCTTCTTGTGTTACGACGTTGGTTTGGTCCTTTGTTAACCCATAACCGCTTGGTTAGCTTACCACTCACATACTACTACTAACTCTGGATGCAGTAGTACCTTCTCTCTGCTCCTCACAGCCGACTTGTAAGTGTAAGGTCATGGGTGGGTATCCCGCAGAATCTTACAAGGGTGATTAATCCAACCAGAAAGACACGGCTACTTAGCGCTTGCCTGGATGTGTAGTTATTGTGTGGATGGGTTTGAGCTAAACGAGCTTTCTCAAAAATGTGCTACTCATTAATAACCAAACATCCGCCCTCGTAGTCTCCCGATATTATGGGTACCCATCTCCTGTGCAGTGGAAATGGTAACCTTTGGAAGCAGCCACTTTGCGCGGCCATGGTAGGGACCTGTATGGCAGTAGAGGGTGGATCGCGCTGTTTTCCCAATTCGCTTGCGAATTACGACGGACTGCCACAGTCCCAGTAGTTCAGTGACACAAGCTGTTAGTGGTCAAGGGTTCGGTTCCCTGAAGGAAACCGAAGGAATGCGCACCACTGATAAGCCCCAGTAGGGTGAAATGGTCGTCTGAGGCTTCTCCGGAGTGGTGGTTAGGGTAATTGGCTTGTGAGCTCCTGGGACGCGTGAATAAATTTCAACAAAATCCTCTTACACATTAGTAAACTTTTTTGCTTATTATGAACTGTCGTTATAAGCGCGCTGTTCCAACAAAGCTGGGCAATTTTTTGTGAGCGCTAATGATCCAAGAGTTTGAGGCAGCCGAGAACCTCAGACGGAAGGTGGCTAAGTCAAACCGCCATGGCGGAACATGGCGCAAACTGTTTCCCTGTACACATGGCCGTTGAGTGCAAACCACATCTTTTCCTTGCGTCTAAGTTGTCGCATATTCGTAGATTTGCAATAGATGGACTGGCTGCTGCGTCCGCACTTCCGTTATTGCTGGGTGAATCAATCAACCATCTCTAGTACTACGTCCTTAAGGACCAAGCTGTCGGTATAAGCAACACTTTTATCGCAGCACAGCATAACTTAGTGTTAAGTATGATAGTGTCAACAGGCAGTGTACATCGATCAATCGGAAGAGACCACAATCTCACTAACAAGATTAAATATGTGCGCTGAGAGGGTAGGTAGGAAAGTTACCCGTTGGAAAATGGGCATTAATAATAATGCCACTATTGGTATCAACGTAAAAATCACTCTACATCCTTTTTAAGATTCTTGAGCCGCCACTGATTTCCCTTTACCATTTAGATTACCTACAATGTAGATGGCAGCCAGCTTTCATTCCTGCAATTGCACAGTTCCTCAGCTCGACAGAATGTGAGAACCCCCTGCCTTCCCCATTTGGATGAATATGAGAATTCCAACAACACCGCTATCATGTACGCAGACAACGGTGTTGAAATAACGGACAGCCATCCTCATATGCGGTACCACAAAATTAAGGAGCAATGCCCGGTAAGTACATTATGGACACTGCCCCGTTATGTGAGCCAGTCTTGGTCTTAAGACAGCGTTTTACCATTTAACTCGCTCGCGTTACCACCAAACAGTTTACATAAGATGAGTTGCCGTCAGCAGTCCCTAAAATGTACATTTGTCTCCGCAAATAGGTGTTTCCAGTCACCTAGCTCGATTGAACGCCGAGTCAGTAGAGAAGGGATCTGAAGGGTCTGGCTCAGTCCTTGAGACTCATCTGGACCCACTACCGGCGCACATTCCGTTTCAATCAGTCAGGACTCGAGCCACTATCTGAACATTTTGCTGCCGGCGGCTCATGTTACTTGGCCACTGGTGATGACGATCGTGTCCTGGGTGACCAAACTAGTGTGATACAGCGTGACTTATTCCCGCTTGTCAACACTTTACTGCCGTCCAGGAGGACAGCGTTGACCAGTTGAGTCACGACTTCTCTCATTAAAACATTGAAGATTCAGTGGAATTACTGAGGTTCAAAAGGCAGTTGCGCAGGAAATATTACTGTGTCAGAGTAAGTGATTTTAGCTAGAGCGTATGCGCAATGCGGTCCGCAACAAGAACGATAAGAAGCGGATTTGTTGTAGGTCTTGTTTGTTGGCAACCACTCTTGCAGGTGCTTCAAGAACAAGTAAGTATATTTGTCACTGAGCAAATTCCTCCTTAAGGAAATCAAGTCCGTCCATAGATCACTCGAAGTAGTTCTTACCGCAATCAAATTACACCCTATGGACGCGCACACCCATAAATGTGTACCGTTCCTTGGCTGGCTAATTCCAACTCAGTGGCATAACAGACGAGCATGTGGCATGGGTGCAGATGGCTCTTGAACTCAGACCCACCTGCGGTATCCTGGGATGCTGTAAGACCAATCGCGCTTTGGGATGTGTGTAACTCCTTTCAATACTGAAACTGAGCAACGATTGGCTACACTGAAACTATTCTTATGCAAGCTAGACAGCATGCACGACAAAATTGCGCTGTACGACCTGCACTTAGCGGTGCGTAAGTGCAAGAATTGGTGAGTGGTAGTTGGAGCTGCTTTACGTTGCACTGCAGGAGCTACTGGTCTAGGTGAGATGCACTATGTACACGATGTTCCTGAACGCACTATCATTAAGAGAACTGTTGAGTTGGATACAAGTCGATTGCGGTGCAAACTACTTCGAATGATCTATGAGCGGACATGATTTCCGTAAGGACGACTTTGATTGCGCTATGAGTGCAATTGACTGAGAAACTGTATTACTATGGAACGCGTGGGTAGAGATGTGGATGAAGCGGTGCTCCGAATTTGTGGAGACCTCCTGTGCATGAGCGTGGTCCCAATGACAAGCGATGCTGGAAACGGTTTCGGTCATTTAGCGGTGTTACATTCTCGGAATGTTAAGCCGAAGTTGAATTCGCGTGTAAACGCCATTATTTCTTGGCATGAAAACTGGTTAGCATCGTATTCAACTTATACGCAGACCTATTAGGTGGTGTTAAGGTTAGGTTGAGCGCCTACAAGACTGCAGTTTGATCTCGTGGTCTGTCACGCGCTCACACACCTTTAGTTCCAACAATCAGCCCTTACGGTTTCATGGTCCGTGCGTCATCCGACCGACGTTGGATACTGAGCATCAGTTACAAAGGCTCCTCATTGTTAGAATGAGCGGATCCAGACTGGTAACACACTACAACAAAAAGAGCGTATTAAGACGTTACTAATACTGATGACAGTTATCGAACGCCAGAGAATGGGTCACTGGCGTGTAAACCACTTCAAGCTACTAATTACCCACGTGTCTGACACAAATTACGACGCGGCATTCCTACATCCGCCAGTACTACTTCCACCGCGATTTTTCTGTTTACATTTTGCAGTTCGTTTAACCGTTTTTAGTGATCTTCAACTGTCCATACGCCTGGTCTACGGCACTCACACAGCGCTTTCTTTTATTACTTCATTTACTATTGATACCATCAGTCGCAATTTGCACTTCGGGTTTGAGCAAACCCAAACTCTTGCGTCGTCTCCGAAAGTTGGAACGGCACTTGAGCCGTGGCAGCGTGTCACAATGCGATATCTAAGTAGAAACTATCCCAAGCGGGTTTATCAGCTATTCGACGGTCTCCTACAACGCCCTGTTTGACAATTGCGAGCCCTCCCCTGGACAGAGCATTGGGCAATGAGTTTTATGTTGTCAAGGGAACTTGTTAAGTTGGACTTTTGCTAGGGATTATCAGAGTCCACTGAACGTCATGCGTAAGGAAATTGTTTCTCGCAGTGGGACTACCCGAGCTTCAATGCATTTGGAATATGCTTCCACAAAGTGAACACTGCATAGCTGCTGAGAGATCTTTGAGCGTACCCTAAGCCTGTTTTTATAATCTCATGGATATCTGCTGTAGGCGATCATATGCTCTAACTCAGGTAAGTAGCGAAAAGGTCGTTTTGATGGTTTCCTAACATTTTATTGCGGTACATTTCGCCTAACAATTTTTGTGTAGACCAACGCATTTGTTTGCCGTCTGCATTTATAGTTTTTTGGCCGATAAACAGCTGACTGAAGCGGTGGGGATTATCAGATTTAAATGGGCACTGTGACGACTACAAGTTGCGTAACACGAACCCTTTCTTTCACTTTAACAGAGGTCGCAGTACACGTTTACTGAAGACTCCGTATGCACTAGATTGTGTTAATGGATGCAATAGACGGTCGCACACGAAACCATTAGACGTTGATATGTTGAATGATGGTGCATAAAAAAACGCGCCTATAGCTGCTGAACTGCGCTCATGAATTTTCTGTCAACTTGACGGTGGATAGCTTTTGTGCCGTCACATGCACCCCATATCCATTGTAAACCAGCAGGAATTAGTCTAGGAGGTAAGCGAAGAAAAGCCACTATTGCTTCATATCTGTCTAACCTGTATCTCTTAAAAAACAAAAAAATTATGGGCTTCGAGCGCAAACAACTATTTACAAAATAGGCTACCGTTCCTGACTGCTTCCATTTGGCGTGCTTGCTGTACATACGGTTGTCTATTAGTTTTCCTTTCGTGCGTCACAAATTTACAAGCGAGATTTGGTTGGCCGGATGCTGCTTCGGCTCTGTAGCCGCACTGATCTTCCCATTTCGCCATGCCCAATTCCGTACTGACATTAGCCAAACACTTTCACCCAGTCCAAACCTATATGATAGTGGCTACTTGCTTGAAATATGGACCGACAAACGTGTTCCTTATAATTGATGCTCGCACTGACTTTCTATCATGTGATTTCCCCTAACTGCCGGCAACCACCACATAATTCACTAGCCCGCATCTCATTCACTGGTAGCTGCGTCAATGTGATGGTACTCTTGAGTTATGCTAAGGCCCATTAACTGTCGTTGCAATGTACACTATGCCAGTACGCGCGTTGTTTGGGCAGTTGGGTTTCGCGCAATTGATTCCTCCACTCAGTTAATTCGTTAGAGTTTTGTGAAACAAACTTACCAGGGACACAGGCCGATGATTAATCCATTGCCCATTTCATGACAAGTGCGCCCTTCGATCCGAACAGTACCTCTTCGTACCAATAAGCGGTACTCTACTGATCTCAGTAAACTAGCTCGGGGTAATAGAGGGGTTATTCTATCCTACCGGTATTTGTCCGAAGTAGCCTAACCACACCAATCGCCAAACGTCATGCCATGAAGACGACTACAATCCTTTATTCATCCATACATTAACCGACTATGATGATTATGTATCATATGTGTGGCATCGGCTCTCCTACCATTTCCACAATGGCTGGTGGTATAACTGAGCCCTTTGCCTTGAATACCATGCGTGCGCAGAAACAACAGCTACCGGCTATAGATTGGAAGTTAATTATTGAGATGAGAGGGATGCGTGTACGGTTAGGTAGAAACCGTACCAAATTCGATTGACTAGCTTGTCAATTCAAGTCAACTCGAGGAATTGCTTTATGAAGCCAGGATGAATGAATATTCAGCAGTAACAATACATGCGCTCTCGGCAATGGGCCAAAAGAAGGGCGAACTAAGAAACAGTGCCACTAAAAATACGGTTTGATGAAAGATATAGACAGTATCCTAATGCTAATAGGCTTGTTAGTGCTTGCACGACAGAGTGTGTTTAACAAAATACGCGATAGACAAGGTCAACTTGTGCTTTTACCTGATAGACTGAGTTTACAAATATTCAGATGATGCGTTATGAAGATGTTGGCTTGCCTCGGCAAGTATCTTTGACGCAAGTCTCCTACAAGAGCTGATGTGTGTGAACCAAATTACATTAACGTAGATAGACATCGAAACGCTGCTACATCGCGCTAAATGTCTTATCGACCTGACTGAGACCAGTAAAAATTACGGAAGAGCACCACGTGCAGTGGCCATGAACACAGGTGTTGCCTAAAGGAAATATCGATACAAGTGTGACAGAGGAGGATCTCAACCGAAGGCCGTGGAACGACAAGCTCTTGACTTTCGTGAAGGTTTTAATAGCATAAACTGTACAGAACAACTCGTAGTTTATCCTCACACCAACAAGCTTGACTGATGCAGCACAAAGAACTTCTTCACTATGAAGATGGAGCTCAGGACATAGAGTGAGGAGCTGCTTGTACTGAGATACTCTGTGCAGCAATGAATAAACAGCACCACAATTTGATGTATTAGGAGATATATTACAAGCTTTGGAGCAGACCTTAGAGTCGTTCAGAATGGCTTGCAGCCTCACAGGTGATCTGGTGTCATCTGCTTACATTAGTAGGATTGGTTCTTCAGCGAATGAAATTGAGTCGACGCAAGTAGAAAGAAATGGCGTTATAACTGCATCTTGAAGAACGTCAGAGTTGGTGATTCGGGAGGGGAAACATCGACCACTAAGTCGGATAATTTGAGTGCGTCTAGCGAAATAATCACTCAGCAAGTGAACGGTGAAAGAATGAATCCTGTCAACTAGTAGCTCTGATAACAGTAACTCT